CTTCTGTATCTTGTTGTTAAAGTATGTCAGATTCAACTCACTTCGCCTACAATATTCCTTTAAGTCCATCCTGGCCTTCAAGTTATCTTTGGTCTTGTTAGTAACATCCATAATAGTGTTAAACAAGTTGTCAAAAAAATTCTTCTCGATATGCATGACGTCCAGATTATGCCGAAGAAGATTGCGCTTCCAATAAGGTAATTCCCAAAATATGCTCCGCTTAGTCCAGTTGTGTGTGACACCATAACCTGGTATCTTAGATGGCGGAGACTCTGTTACTTTAGGCATATCCCTTACTCTGTTCCAAATTTCTTCTGAACACAAGCAGGCCGGTGGCTCCTCAAAATCAGTTCGGTTCTTCATAAATGCACTTGTATTTCACCTAAATTCATGATTCATTGGCAAGAATCTACGGTGGCAGTCGAACCATGTATTTTGACCTCCATATTTCAAAATAAATGCTTTAGTGTCTTCCATACAACAAGGGCAAGATAACTTTCCAGCATTCGACCACCCGGAAAACATTCCATAAGCAGGAAAATCATTTATAGTCCACATCAAAGCAGCATGCAATCTGAAGTTTTGTGTGGTTGATATATCATATGTTTCCACACCTTGATGCCATAATAATTGTAACTCATCAATCAAAGGCTGCAAGTATACATCAATCAAACTTTTCGGATTGCGTGGACCTGGAATAATACAAGTTAGGAACATATATGGACTTGTCATACACAACTCTGGCGGAAGATTATATGGAGTAACAAACACCGGCCAACATGAATATGGTGCAGCAGAGACAGCAAATGGAGTAAATCCATCTGTGCATAGTCCCAACCTAATGTTTCTTGGTTCACTAGCAAACTCGAGGAACACCCTATCAAAATGCTACCACGCTTCTCCATCTGACAGATGGAAGAGTATACCAGGTGGCCTTCTATGTTCGTAGTGCCATCTCATATGAGGAGCAGAGCTCATTGATGCATACAACCTCTTTAACCTAGGTATAGAGGTAAGTAATGCATCGCTTTAACTGGAACTTTATTTTTTGTATTGGCATTTGTGACTTACTTAAAACGAGGCTGATTACAAAATTTACAGTTCTCTATAGATGCGTCATCCTTATAGAATAACATCCAACCTTTCTCACAACAATCAATTCTCTCTGATGAAAGACCCAACTTAGAAACCAATTTTTTAGCAGTGTAGAAATCTTTTGGTAAGTCAATGTTACTCGGATTAAGTTCATTCATAAGCCCAATAATAGAATCCATGCCCGCTTGGAAAATAGAACTATCCGATTTAATACTTAGCAATCTAACAGCAACAGACAACTTGGAATGCACCGAACCTTCATACAATGGACGACTAGCTTCTAGTAACTGTCCATAGAAACGCTTAGCCTCATCATTTGGTTCGGATTGAACCCCAGGAAAAGTCCCAAAAGCATCCCTCATCATTTTATTGTATCGAGAATTTTCAACATTATGCTCCGAAATGGGGCTACCCTCACCACCAAAAGAATTATGAAAGTTAGCATCATCTAAACTAGCATGATTCTCCCCGTGAGCAATCCACATATAATAATTTTCTACAAGAAATGATTCTCCCCGTGAGCAATCCACATATAATAATTTTCTACAAACCCTTTCTTGTAGAGATGGACTTTAACTTCGTCTGATATCAATAACTTAACACATTTATATTTCACACAAGGACACCTAATCCTTCCTCCAATAAGAAAATCATCAAGTGTTTGAGCCTTAGCAATAAATTCAGCAACCCCTTCAATAAATTCATCCCTCAACCCCGCACGGTTAGGATGATTCCTATTATACATCCATCTACGATGCACAAATTCCATCTACACAAATAGAAATCTATAAATGAGATATTTAAAATAATTTGATTTATTTAAACTGGTTACAAAGTTATACTCTTTCAAAGGTTCCTTTTAGAAATATACATATCATTGTGTCAAAGCACTTTAATTAATATATTTTATTCTTTAAATTAATATCTTTTAACACTCGAAATCTCACATTAATCCCTATTCTAAATAATATAAGTCTTTAAATATACTAATTAAATTTGAATAGCTTCTTAAACGTTCATATAATCTAAATTAATTATTGATTTCTCAAACAAAAGAAATAGTCGTAACTAACAAGTGGAAGTGTTTTTATTTGGTATTGAGGAGGACAAAAGGATCAGATAGAATCTTGAAAACTGAAAAATCCAAAAGACAATTAGCTTTCTGTCTAAAGAGTTTTAACAAGATCACTTTCAACACCAGAATCTTCAGATCTACCACTTTAAAAGAATGTAAAGAGGAAATGTAACAGAAGCGCCAATTAGAGTCATTATCATCAATGACAATAGCTTTGACTCACAAACTATAAATCAAGTTTGACAACACCTCCAAAATAATGAAAAAATAGTACCTCTAATCCCTCTTATCTTCCCCATGACCCAATGAAAAAAACAAGGGACATACATCTAACCCCTCTTATCTTCACCCATGACCCATGCATAGTTGTAGTAGTAAAGTAATACTCGTAATAGATAACATAAGTTTGTACAGTAGGAATTAACTTAGGAATCCTTTATTGGTTAGGTTTTCTAATTTCTGATCAAACTTGGTTTTGTAATATATAGGTAATGTTACCTATTTAATGAAATCAAAGCCTCAAACGCTATGGCTAAAAAAAAAAGTCTCAAATTGTTAACCCTATATAGAGCAACCAGTCTTCTTTGAATATCACTTTGCAACTGGGCTATGTTACATAGGCACTTTTTTACCCAAACAAATATGAAAGATCTACAAATAGCATCTATCATCTTTATGATTTCGTCGCAGTGATTTTTTATATTAGAGGCAAGCACTAACTGATATAGTAACTTCTTTGAGGATAGTATCACATTCAAGTATATGAAAGGAATGGTGGCTACTATACCCTCAATTCTTAGATGATTTCTTGTTTCACGGCTTCTGTTGTACTAATAACCTTTCTGACTATCATTGTCAGCATCTTAACAATAATTTTATATAAAGTAGTACAACAGGTAATAAGCCTATAGTTTTCGGACTGAGTAGGAGAGGCTACCTTAGGCACTAAAGTAATGGTTGTGCAATTCAAAGCCTCATGAGCTTTCCTATTTCAAAGAAGTCTAGAACATCATAACACACCTCATTATCAACTAGCCCCAGTTATTTGTAAAGAATTCAATAATAGATCAGTCCATACTAGGAGACTTATCAGCTATTATACCAAATCCCTGATTGCTTCCCAAATTTTCTCACCAGTGACTTTTTGAATGAGAACCACTTTCTGCTTTTGGGTAAGACATGGAACTAGCCAGGCACGAAAACGTTATACCATTGTTGTGCATCGCTATGTATCTGCAATCGTTACTCCTTAATATCTCCAGGCATATAAATCATAGAACATATATATGAAGGTGTGACTAGTAACTTGCTGCACAACTCTTGCCTAAACTAAGAGCCAACAAATTCTGTTACTTACACCCTAGCAAAGTAAGAACTAGGCAGAAAAGTATAACAATGTAGGAAAATTATAAGAACAAAGATCATATAGTGCATCAGACAGATTGCCAAATTAATAATGAAATCACTGGCCAAAAAGGAGTGTAGGGGTCAAAACCATTATAATTATTCCAACATCCCTGTCGGTAATGAAAACAACATAGATCATATGACACACACATATGCCAGCACAAACATAAAGAAAGATGGTGCAAAATAATGAAAATCCAAAATAGATAAACCTGTAATGAAGAGGGAAAAATAGTACCTCTAACCCCTCTTATCCTCTGACGGAGCTTCAGCGGGTGGTGGCAGTGGAGACAGAGTCTCGACGGAGCTTCAGCGGCGCCGCTGGTTGGTGGCAGCGGTGGGTTTGGGTGAGGGAATTTTGATTGAGAGAGAAGAGAGAAGGAAGAAAAGAGGGAAAGGAAAAGAAAGAAGTGCGCTGGTACAGTTTTAAAAAAATATTTCCGACTGATTCAGTCGCTAATTTGGTCAAAGCAGTCAACCTCACTTTACTAAAAATTTCCGACCGAGTCGTCGCTATTTTTTAATTTTTTTTTTAACAAAAAAAATTATTTCCGACCGAATTGGTCGCTAACAGTGGCGCAGAATTTTCCGCCAAAATTTACGACGGATATAGACGGAATATTAGTCGTAACTATTAGTTAAAATTAAAAAATAAATTTTTATGTATTTTCCGACTGATTCCGTCGGAAATTTTCGACTACTTTTTTCCGTCGAAAATTTCAGCCGGAAACTGGCCGTTTTTTAGTAGTGATCATACGAACTCGCTCGCGCGATCAAAATATCAAAATAACACCTAGAACTACGAATCGGCTGCCAAATCAAATGATATTTTCAATGAAACTTAAGAATTTCTATTTTAACAACCGGGCGTCCGAATCACGTCAAACTATCCCCGTTTTTCACCAAGTTTTGCAGACAAGTCATATACATAGCAATGAACATATACCAAGCTCCGAAACAAAAATTCGGACCCGGTAGCACTAAAGTCTAATCTTGGTCAAAATTTTACACTCTTTAAACCTTAAACTTCAAATCTCGACAAAAAGTGATAACTCGAGTTAGGGACCTCCGAGTTCGATTCCGGGCATAGCCCAGACCCCAAATCACGATACGGTTCCACCGGGATCGTCAAAATACAAATCCGGGTTCGTTTGCTCAAAACGTCCGAAGTCAACTCAGATGGATTTTTAAGGCATAGTTTCACATTTTATCAATTTTTTTTTTTAACTTAAAACCCTTCCGGAGAAAGACACGGACTGGACATGCAAATCGAGAAAGGCTAAAATGAGATATTTGAGGTTTCGAAACACAGAATTAAGGTTTATAACTCTAGATGACCTATCGGGTTACCACAACTCTATCTTCAAGAAAAAAGGAAACGAAAAGAAGTAAACCGAGAAAGTGGGAATGAAATAGAAAGAGAGAATAGACATAACAGGTAGTAGTCAGCTCAGCAGCATTAAGGCCAAAATCAGCCCACGCCAATGTGACAAACTTCACTTGCTTCTTTCCTAAACGGAACGCCAAGTCGCCAACACCCGCCTAACAATATCACCATAAAAATGATAGCGAACGAGCCATCACTCTGATCTGTTCAATTACTCTTTCTTCGCTACATCCAAAGTCAGAGATAGTCTTCCCCTCAACGCTGGGGCCCTTCCCCTAACAACTCCATCACCCCTTTTTCTTCCCTTCACTTTCTTTAACTATTTTCTGAAATTGTTTGTTAAGGGAAGAGATGTCGGACGCTTTGATCAATGGGCTTGCCGGTGCCGGTGGTGGCATCATCGCTCAGCTTATTACCTATCCTCTCCAAACCGTATTTATTTATTACTCCTCCCTACCCCTTCTTCCCTATTCTTAGCTTCATTTTTTCCCCCTTCTTCAATTACTCAAAATCAGAGAACTGTTTTTCTTTTCTTATTTAATTTGGATGATGTTAGGTGAATACGCGGCAGCAAACGGACAGAAATTCGAAGAAGGAGAAGCAAAAGCTTGGGACAATAGAGCAAATGTATCAGGTGCTTGCCTATCTTTCTTCTGATCGTTTTTATTAATTAAAAAAAAAATTCTGTATGAGATCTATTATAATTAATATTCTACTTCAGTTGTTCTAGTTTTGTTTGCTTTCAGTTTCACAATTTTCGTGCCTACGTGATCTGTAGGTTGTAAGGCAAGAAGGATGGGATCGGCTTTACGGTGGCTTAGCTCCGTCGCTAGTGGGCACCGCTGCTTCCCAGGTAAGGACTTTCTGTCTTAAATCCCTCTTTTTTTGGCCAGTTGCTAATGTGCACCGTGTGGGCTCTCTCTCTTTCTCTTTTTAATTATCTTTATTCAGAATATTCGGCGGTTTGTTGCGGGTATGCCGTATGCCCTTTTGTTTCCTTTTCCCACGGGTTAAAATACTTGTTTTTGGGTTAATATCTACTTTCTCTTTTGGCTCTCTGTATCTATGAAGATACAAAATGTGAATTATCAGATATTAAGAGGAAAACTGGATTGATATCAGTACATTAACCATTAATCAATCCCAAATTAGTTGTGGTCAGTTAAGTCATCTATAACAACTAATAAGTCCATTTCAGTCTACTAATATATTAAGTAGTACTCCCTTTATCCCAATTTATGTTACAATTTTCGCTTTTCGAGATTCAAACTTTTTAATTTTGATTGCGTATTTGAGAATGGAATCTTTTAAGTTGTCAAAATAAAATTTACATATTTGGAAACTAAGTAAAAAGTACTATAAGTCAAAATGATTAATAATTCAAAATATTTAAATGGCTCATGAAAAAATTGCGGTCCAGAAACACCGTCACATAAATTGAGACAGAGATGGAAAATTACTAGACTTTGGTCCATACTTTACAGTATTATTGGGTGGGTATTAGCACCGGAGGGGGCAGCTCTAATTATTCATATGTGGTCCCTCGTCTTTGGGAACTGTGCCAATATTGCTTACTGAATATGATAGCTTATCTGCAGTTGGGCGGTCCTTTAACCTGGTAGTTGTTTTGTCTTTCTCATCTTTATTGCACGGGTCCTAACAAAAGCGGAAATGATTTTAAACGGGAAGCCCGGTGCACTAAGCTCCCGCTTTGCGCGGGGTCCGGGGAAGGCCGGGCCTCAAGGGTCTATTGTACGCAGTCTTACCCTACATTTCTGCAAGAGGCTGTTTCCACGGCTCGAACCCATAACCTCCTGGTCACATGGCAGCAACTGTAGACATTTGCTTATAAATCATTAATAACTTGTAGGCGTCATAGACCAATGATGCTTTGTCTAGTTAACACTTAACACTGATGTACTGCAACAATAATGATTGACTTGGCCAAAGGATCACTTGGTCATTAGTTTGTGAGCTGGAGGTACTCTTGCCAAAGTTGTATGATAATACTGCATTATGTGCATTATGTTATTACTGATGAAAAAAAGGGTACTGCACTATGTCATTACTGATGAAATAAAAAATTACTGCACTATGTCATTACTGGTTGAAAAAAAAAATTACTGCACTGTGTGTTTGGGTTACAACAACAACGACGACGACCCAGTCAAATCCCACAAGTGGGGTCTGGGGAGGGTACTGTGTATGCACTGTGTTTGGGTTAGATTTCCTTAATTAACAGCTCATGCATCTTGCAACTAAAACTTAACAAAGCTTATTCTGTAATATTGGAGTCTGCTAGATTTTACACTTTTTCCCTTTTGGATGGTGAATGCTCCCAGATTTATCATGGCCTCTTTAAGTTTGCCGTAAAATTGATGATGTTTAGATGTTGATTTTGAATGAGCAATCCATAGACTTCTTGGTTGATTACTATTCTTCTACCCCGCACCCCCAACCCCGATAGTGCGGTCTCACGGATCTTCATTGCAGTATTTGGTCATTCCAAAATTATCACTTGTAGAATATGGTGGACCCTGTTATAATGAACTGGGTCAGAGCATAAATGCATAGATGGACATGTTTGCTTTGATAGTGTTCTCATATGCCTGTAACAGAATGGTTAACCTAGAGAAGTGAACACAGTCAACTAGTTTTTCCTGGCCTCAATGCTGGAATACTTTGGTGATTTCTTTGTAACAATAGTTAATTTATGAACTCACTCTGCTTGTTGTTTGGTAATGAAAATTCTGTTCACTTACGTTGCTGTAAATTTGTTTTTACAGGGCGTATACTATTACTTCTATCAAATATTCAGAAATCGAGCAGAAATTGCTGCGCTTGAAGGTAAGAAGAAAGGAATTGGTGATGGATCGGTTGGAATGTTCTCATCACTTCTGGTGGCTGCTTTATCCGGGTAATTTACTTGTCTGTGGCGTATTAGAATTTTATGTCCACCTTTTTTGTAGCCTTGATATCTTTCTTAGATTGCCCTGGTGGACTGATCCTGGTAAATGTCCAACATGAATCCTAGTCAACGACATTCTGGCTTTTCTTGTCGTTATTACATATTGCCTATAAAAAGGAATCAAAAGTTTCTGTCTTCTGGTATAATATGGAATCACGATTGCACAAATTTCTTCCATTTCCTATCCCAGGCCAATGTAAAAGCACCCATGTTTACGAATTACCGTTAAACTTTTCTGATTTCTTTGTGGATAGTTACCATTGAACTTCCTTACTTTTCTATGTTGCAGGTGTGTTAATGTTCTGCTGACTAATCCCATATGGGTTGTCGTCACTCGCATGCAGGTACTCTTGTGTTATATTTTAGTTCCTTTGGCCCTGGTTATGAAATTGAGGCATTTATTTCAAATGTTCTGGTGAATTTAGTGCAGAAATAGGTTTATTTGTGTTATTTACTTATTTTACTCTCTGATCTTTATCCTGCATGTTAAGGAATACAACAACTACTACGTTTCAATCCCAAGCAAGTTGGGTTGGTTATATTAACCCTCAAATTGACCATCCCGCTCCAACTAAGTTCATCTTAGACCAACAACTACTACTACTACTACAACAAGAACTAAAAGACTCCTAGGAAACATAAGACCTAAAGTAAATATACTTTCATTTCTACAGGTAACAATGCTGCATATATTAGTTAATTTATTTTCTATTAGGATATTTTTGGCAGCAAATTCAAATGTAGTAATAATATAATCTTTATAGTGGCAAGGAAGTTAATGCGGGTTTAGGGGGGCTGTACCAGACTTGGAGGGGCGCCCACCTAAGGTCGGCCCAAGTGGCTGAGATACCCCAAAAGAAAAAAAAAAAAAAAAAAAAAAAAAAAAAAAAAAAAAAAAAAAAAAAAAAAAGCTGGAGGTTGCCTTTACTTCACAAAGTGGAATGCTTGCAATTGCAATTCTGGTGGGAAGGCTTACACCCAACCAAGGTCCTTGAAAGTTTTCCTACTTCAGCCGTTGATTACATTTATTTTGCAGAATATCCTGATGTTGTTTACCAAGATTTTTATAGGTCCTTGTTTTATTTCCTGCGAAGCTGTAATTTCAGTATTAAAGTTGGAGTACTGAAATTACTGAAATTAAAGTTGGAATACTTATCAAAAAAAAGTATTAAAGTTGGAGTACTTTAATAGTACATCAAAAGTATTCTCATGAGATCTGTTTCCGGCAAGCCACCTAGCTAAGCTTGATTCCTGCAACAATGGTTCTTTAACTGAATGGTTTGATTTAAGCTGGGGAAATTCCTTTACTCTTTCCTCCTAGGTGCGTTGCGAGTTAGTTATGAAAGAGATTTAAATCCCTACAACAACCTTGGCATGTTAACTGTCTGCTTTCATTTAAGCTGGGGAATTTTCTCACTCATCCCTTGGTGTTGAGATACGGAATAATATTAACAGAAGCTTAAATATGTATTGGACCATTTCTTCAATCTATCGGAAGACAGAAGTGTAAGAAGCCATTCCTCCTTGGTGTTGAGATACGGAATAACATTAACAGAAGCTTAATTATGTATTGGACCATTTCTTCAATCTATCGGAATACAGAAGTGTAAGAAGCATTATTTGAGTTGTGGATTCTGTAGTTTCAATAACACTGAAGTAATTTCAATGTTGAAATTACCTTGTTTTAGACACTTAACAATTGCCTTTATATACATCCCTTTTCCCTTTTACATAGTAAATGCAACAGGCATTTATAAAGAATCTGATGAATAAAACTAGTTTACTTAGCTTTGGCATGTAGAAATTTTCGTTATGTTTCTTAACATGACCTGCCACTTCCTCGCACAAATTGGTCTAATTTAGATATTTTGGTTGTTCCTTGCAACTGCTGTGCAGACTCATACGAAAAAGTCAAAAGGTAGCCATCCTGAACCTGCAGCATCAGAGGATGCAATCGGTGCTGTGGTCGAACCGCCTCCTTTTGGAACTACCCATGCTGTATGTACATTTGTCTTCTTATTAAAAGATGTAACTTATGGTTCATGGAAAAATACATGCCTTGAAATCTTGGACCTTAGGATATGCAGTGTTTCTTCTTGACTAACTTCAAGTGTCATTATAAGCTCATGCCAAGCTATGCTAGATGATTTTTCTAATGAAAATTTCTTTGTATTTCTCAAGAGTCTGAGCTTCAAATATTTGATTAGTTGACACTTGAAAGCTTGTCTTGCTTTTCATAACAAAATTGTCTGGCAGCATAGCAATTTGGGAAATGATAATTTCTGAAGAACGTTCTCAAGAATGCAGTCAGTTCGGTGAAGAGAAGATATAGATAATGTCATTGCAGTTTTTAGAAGAAAATCTTTGATGATACTCAAACTTTTTTGGGTGGTTCGTCTCTGATCATTTAGCAATTAGCAGTCAGCATAGTGTTTGTGCTCATCACGTGGAATCATGAATTTTTGTTTATGCTTCCCATTGATTTGGTTCAGACTATGGAGACCATGCCTCTATTTCTCACAGGCACTTTGTTTCACAGATTCAAGAAGTCTATGGTGAAGCTGGAGTTTGTGGTTTCTGGAAAGGTGTTTTTCCGACGTTAATCATGGTATGTGACAACTGACTCTAGTTAGTAGTACCAATGGTTGCTGATTCTTTTCACTGCTAAATACAGGTAAGCAATCCTTCTATACAATTTATGCTATATGAAACCCTTTTGAAGAAGATTAGGAAACGGCGTGCCTCTAGCAATAAAGGCGCCAATGATGTCACTGCATTGGAGGTAAATATTTGTACTTCACTTTTCGTTTTTTTTCTGCTTAGTGATTTAGTCTAGCAGGCTGGTATTTTTGTTCTTGGCCTAGATCTTTTGGAGCTCATGCACTTGTATATTTTGGTTAGATATTTTTACTCGGAGCTGTGGCAAAGCTTGGGGCTACAGTTGTAACATATCCTCTTCTGGTTGTGAAGGTAATACAAGTTTTTTTTTCTTTCCAGGAGAAACTTGGCTTTCCCTTTTTCCCACTTCTCTTGAAATCTCTATGATCGTTTAGATTAAAATGTCGTAAATTCTTCTCATACAATTTCCCTAAAAGTAATTCAGAGATTCATATTCTTCTCTTGTTATGTCGTACCGCACTCTTTATGGTCAATTTTGAGAATAAACTGTTGAACTACTAGCTTAATGGGGAGTGGGTAAATTCTTTCCTCTGCTTTTCAGTTTTTGCTAACTGTATCATGTTCAGTTTTAAGTTTATTTGGTCCCAAGTAATCTCAGTCATAACACGAAACGCTTACTACCACTTTTGTGGTTTCATTAAACCTGTTGGCTGGAACTGTTCAAAAAATGTTGCAGCAATGTCCAATTTAGAGAAGCTTGGTCACTGTAAAGAGTTTGGTCCACTATCCAACAATTATTTGAGATTTGTTTTCTGCATGAACAGTAATTTTTCTATCTTTGCAGTCGAGACTTTCCCAACATGTTCAGGACTGACGCTTAGTTGTTGTTTTGTTGTTGCAGTCAAGACTTCAGGCAAAGCAAGTTACTGGTGGGGATAAAAGACATCAGTACAAAGGTTGGTGCACCTATTTTTAATGCATTACTATTACAGAAGTCACTGTAAAGGTTTTGTAAGTTCTTCAGCAGTAAAAACAGGATGCTGAAATGCAGTAATTCAATCTTCAGAGATCTGTTATGTTACTGTGATTTGAGAAAAATGACAGTCGAGAGAGATGCAGCCTCGTTATAAATTATTGTGGTATTATCTATAAGCTCTGTTGGCCGTTGTATGGTGGCTATAATCTGCAATGCGGGGAAGTTGATGTGTTAGGATTTTTGTATAAGCATTTCAGGCATTTGTATAGTGTAGGTTCTGATGTTGCTTTTACGCCATTCAGGTACCCTGGATGCTATTATGAAGATGATACGGTATGAAGGCTTTTATGGATTTTACAAGGGGATGGGCACGAAAATCGTACAGAGCGTTCTAGCAGCTGCTGTCCTATTCATGGTCAAGGAGGAACTAGTCAGGGGTGCTAGGTTTTTACTAACAGGAACTGCAGCTAGTACTGTAAGATCAAAGCCTCCCTAGAATTTTCCGACATAGCAGTCTTGGGCAGCTGCAGCCTGCAGCATTCCCTCACCACAGATACCTACAGAATTAGGACGCATACATTGTAATAGCATAAGAAATTAATTCGAAATTGAAGATAAAGGAAGATGATCTAGTAAAACGGTTGGCTGTCCAGCAATAAGCCCATTCATCGGTCTCCATCATAAGCACATTAGTCATGTTCTCAATTGTTTGAACTTGGATTGAGCTGTCTAGCAAATTGAAAAATGGAACATATTGATTATTTGATCCTTTGTTTGAAACAGTGTGGTCAAAGGATGTGCTTAAGTCCTGAAGCTCTGAAAAGTTCAGGGAGGGCACTTCGCATTGCTTAAGCTCCGTTTTAGATAGCCACTATGGCGTGTGCTTCATTGCACATGAATTCTATCTTGAATCAAGTAGTACTAAACAAAAGTATGATAGGTAAGGTATATATTAATCATTACGGAAAACGTCTTGAATGAATTTGTTCTTATTTCTTGAATTACATTTATAATTTTTCCCTTTTCTTTATTCATTGTGCTTTATTTTACTGAGGACCACACTATAATCACGTCTTGCGCATAAAGCCTTAATAGACTTGAAGTGCTTTTTAGAGTTTTTTACCTTTGACAAACACTCGTTTGAAGAAATGACGCTCAATCTTTTAATACAATGTTTTGGACATGAATTCACTTGGAAATAGAGATTAAAAATTTGTGAGTGAAAACTATTATTTGACTTCAAAAACTTTTGAAAAACAAGTTTTTCATTATTTAACGAAATGGGGAAAAAGTTATTTGTTTGTGAAGTTTTGAGCTAAGAGTTTCAACTTGTTAAAAGTTGAAATAGTTATATATATATATACAAAAATATGTCATTTTTCGACTGTTATTTTAAAATCGACTATACAATATTATTTTCCTTGTTCGAATGTGTATTTAAGTGAAGTATTCTTTTTTTTTTTTTTTTAAAAAAAATATTTGACTGTCAGTTGACAAATCTTTTAACTTCAATTATTTTTGTCCAAATAAAAAAGAATACAATTATCTAAACGTAAATAGACTACTTTTTTCGGGACACATGCTCCTGAAAGATTCTTTAATGACGTCAACATATCTATCTTTTTAAAGAGAAGGGATACGTAGTTCTATCTTTGATGATGAGCATTATTTACGAGTCGCAAAACTTGGAAATTAACCTCAACTATTGTAAAGCTGGTGTTCCATTTTCCAGTAGACTCGCGCTCTTTTGATATTTACCCAATTGCTAGACTTCGAACTGTCAGAACATGCGCAGGGGAGCATAAATGTAGGTATCACAAATTACATAAACTAAATAATGATTTAATTAGAGAGATTAGAAGTGCTAACGTTTCGAAACTGCTGCACAAGTCTTTTACGGAGCAAAAATTCAGGGCTACAGTCTGTTGCTATGCTCCTCGTAAAATCTTGGACGAAATTATTTGAGTGACCAAATAATACTACTATGAAGAGTGAGTTATTAGGTGAAACTTGTCTTCTATTTGTAAGCCCGAAATTAAGCCAAAAAACAGACCAAAATCGTGTAGGATTCTCCTAGCAGAATCCTAGTCCAACTAAAACAAATAATTTTTCTCCCTAGTCACTTTTTACCCAAGTCTGTCAAGGTTTTTACTAGGTATAACAGGAACCACAGAAATAATAAGAGGCTATCAATTATAGTATTAATTCGAAATTCGGATGAATTCAATCCTACTATAATTAATCATAGTTTATTCCACTAAAAATTGCAATTGAACTCCTCAATATTAATTTCGAAATTTACTCACTTATTTTAACTCCCCATGTCAAGATTACAAATATCAGTTAATTAAACTAAATCATTGATAATTTAATTTAATCAACTAATTAAATCCTTTATAATTCCGCTAAAATACAAAATCCAACGGCCGGGTTTTCACATCAAAACTTGTAAGCTTGCATGAAGGGATATTATCAAACTTAAGGCCGAGTCACAGGTCTATCAACTAATTATTATTTCATAAATGATATTCGTTATTGTCCAATCTATTAGGAATACACTAACTCTAAATAGAGTTGTACCTTTTGATAGATCAAAACAATAAACAAATCACATTGATCATAATAGCTATATCAAGATTAGGAGTATAAGCTCATTTAATGAATCAGAGAAAATATTTTATATATATTCAGTACAAAAACATCTTTTCTCTACTTAGTCAGTTCAATATACACTAAGTATACTAGCTCAAGAAGTTGGAGTAAAATCACTCCCATAATCAAGATAATTTATACTTTAATCTTGTGCTACATCATCAAGATATTTTTCCCAACAATATCTTCGAGTGTGAACATGGTTTATTAATTATGAGAACCGACAATTTAATCTTATGTGCATGAGCTAAGACTCCATACACTAAATTGTAACATCTGATGCAAGCGGCCTCTCACCAATTGGGATATACACCAGGCTACCATACTCACAGCCTTTCTAGTCAAGGCATTGGCCACCACATTGGCCTTAACGGAGTAATACAAAATGGTAATATCATAGTCTTTCAATAGCTCTAACCACCTCCTCTGCCTCAAGTTGAGATCCTTCTGCTTGAACATATACTGTAGACTCCGATGATCCGTGAATACCTCACACGACACGCCATAAAGATAGTGCCTCCAAATCTTCAACGCATGAACAATGGCTGCCAACTCTAAGTCATGAACAGGGTAATTCTTCTCTTGAACCTTCAACTGCAGCGACGCATATGCAATCACCCTGCCATCCTGCATCAATACAGCACCGAGCCCAATACGAGATACATCACATTACACCGTGTAAGATCCTGAACATGTGGGCAATACTAACACTAGCGTCATAGTCAAAGTAGTCTTGAGCTTCTGAAAGCTCAACTCACACTCATCCGAACATCTGAATGGGGTACCCCTCTAGGTCAATCTGGTCAATGGAGCTGCTATGGATGAAGATTCATCCACGAACCGGCGATAATAACCCGCCAAACCTAAGAAACACTTGATCTCTGTAGCTGAAGTAGGTCTAGGCCAATTTTGAACTACCTTAATCTTCTTCGGATGTACTTTTATGCCCTCTGCCGATACTACATGCCCCAAAAAGGCGATTGAGTCTAACCAAAACTCACACTTGGAAAGCTGGCATATAATTGGCTATCCCTCAGAGACTGAAGTACAATCCGAAGATGCTGCTCATGTTCGTCTCGACTACGGGAGTAGATCAAGATATCATCAATGGATACAATCACAAAGGAATAGAAATAGGGCTTGAACGCCTTGTTCATCAAATCCATAAATATTGCTGGGGCATTTGCCAACCCAAATCACTAGGAACTCATAATACCCATACCGAGTCCGAAAAGCCGTCTTAGGGACATCGGATGCCCTAATCTTCAACTGATGGTAGCCAGACCTCAAATCAATCTTCGAAAACATCTTGGCACCCTGAAGCTGATCAAATAAGTCATCAATCCTCGGTAATGGATACTTGTTCTCGATATTGGCTTTGTTCAACTGCAGATAATCTATACACATCCTCATCGACCCATCTTTCTTCTTCACGAACAACACGGGCTCACCCTAGGGCGAGACACTATGTCTAATAAATCCCTTATCTAGCAAATCTTGCAAATATTCCTTTAACTCCTTCAACTCCGACGGGGCCATACGGTATGGTGGAATAGAAATGGGTTGAGTGCCCAGAGCCAAATCAATACATAAGTCAATATCTATGTCGGGTGGCATCCCCGGCAGATTTGTAGGAAATACCTCTAGGAACTTACGAACAACTAGTACTAAATCCATGGAAGGGACCTCCGCACTAAAATCGCGAATATAAGCCAAATAAGCTAGACACCCCTTCTCGACCATATGTCGAGCCTTCACATAAGAGATAACCCAGCTGGTAGAATGGCCAGAAGTCCCCCGCCACTCTAATTGAGGCAACCCCGGCATGGCCAAGGTCACCGTCTTGGTGTGATAGTCCAATATAGCATGATAAGGTGACAACCAATCCATACCCAAGATGACATCAAAATCTACCATATCAAGAATTAGGAGATCTACGCTATTCTCAAGACTCCCAATAGTAACCACACACGAGTGATAGACATGATATTCAACAATAGAATCTACCACAAGCATGGACACATACACAGGAGCACTCAAAGAATCACGAGGAATACCTAGATATAAGGCAAAATAGGATGACACGTAGGAATAAGTACAACGCGAATCAAATAGAATTGAAGCATCTTTATGGAAAACTAGAACAATACTTGTGATAACGATGTTAGATAACTCGGCCTCAGGACTAGCTAGGAAAGCATAATATCGGGGCTGGGCCCCACCATTTTGAACTACTTCTCTAGGACGAACTCTAATTGGCTGGCCTCCACCTCTAATGGTCTGACCTCTACCTCTAACGGCCTGACCCCTACCTCTAGCTGCCTGACTCTGCCTCCAGCTGGATGAGTGGGCGGTGAAGCAACCGGTGCTGGGACCATGGCACGAGAACTCTTTTGTGGCATGCCGCCCAACAATCTCAAACAGAACCTCCTGATGTGACCAGTACCTCCACACTCAAAATATTCGTCCTGCTGCAGTGGCTGATAAAGATGAAGCTAACCCAAACGGGACGGATAACCACGGCGATAGCTCTGAATCGGAGGCGCACTAATATGAGCTGATGGTGCACTATAGGTTGGCTTCTCAAAATGAGGCACATAAGGACCACAGCTCCCTGAAGCACTGTGAGATGCCTAAAGCACTGACTTAAATGGCGTGGGGGGATGGCCTCTACGTAAAGTACCCCCTGCCTCCAAATGAGGCACCACCTAAAACCACTGAAATGACGAGGCCTATTATCAGACACCTGCTCCCTCTCTTGAGCACGAACCATCTCGATCCGTCTAGCAATATATATAGCTGCCTGGAAAGAAATATCACTCCTAGTCTCCTTGGCCATCTGTAGCCTGATAGTGAAAGTGATCCCATCAATAAATCTCCTCACTCTCTCCCTCTCAATAGGGAGCAAGATAATGGCATAGAGAGCTAGGTCCACAAAATGAGTCTCGTACTGGGTAACAATCATACTACCTTGCTGAAGACGCTCAAACTGCCTGGGGTAATCCTCTTTCAGAGTGACAAGAGTGAACTTCTCTAGAAATAGCTATGAAAACGTATCCCAAGTGAGCGCAGGCGACCTAGTTGGTCTAGTCAACATATAATCTTTCCACAACCTAGTAGCGGATCTA